ACCAAAACCTGGGACCTGGTGTCACCAAAAGGAAGTTTGCGACAGTCCCTGCCCAGCCAGGAGTGTAAAGAGCCTTTTTCTCTGCACTTGGCAGAAGAAGAGGGTAGCAATTTTGTTGGAAATTTCTGCTTTGATGGCGTAATCCAAAAAATCCAAGTGCACGCCAACATCTCCATCACAGCTCCAGGACAGCAGTTAAGCAGGATGACGGGGTCTTTCCTCAATATCAGCGTCAGCGAGGAGATCACAGGTAAAATGTCAATATGTATTGTTGGGCTACAGCCTGGGTTTTTTTTTCTTTTTTACTAAAAACCCAGGCTCAGGCGTATTTACTCATTAATTGTATCAGTTATATTATTTAGAAGAAATGCTGATAACTGGTCATTATGATTTTTTTCCCGATAATGGCTTCATTTATTTGTTGTGTGACTGTTTTAAAACATTGCAGTCATGCTTGGTAAATATAATAGAAGCCAAATTCAACATTTAAAAGGACTCAAAAGTGAGAATGATGACCGGAATCATGAGCTAATCTGTAAAAAGTGACTAGTTTTATCATCCAGTATGTTCTGTAGTCTTTTGTTGTTTGAGTTTGGTTAAAGAAGTCATTTTAAAGAATTACCTTAAGATGAAGGAAATTTGAATCAATAATTAGTTAATGAACAAAATAATTTATTTGAGAGACTAAAAAACAACATGCTGCAGTACGCGGCTATTGTACTTTAAAATTCCACGTAGAGGCAGTGTTGCACCACAGATGGGTTTTTATTTATTTATTTTCATTTATAAAACACCCAGGATTTAGACTTGATATGAATTCCTTCCCTCTTTCAGAGACCATTATTTATGCGGTCAGTCCTGACACGATGTCTCCAACACTGCTGGCGACCCCCAACTGGCCTCGGGGTATGAAATCTTACCGCACCCTAAGCTGGATCGTCACGCTGCCCAACCAGTACAAAGCCCAGCTCAATTTTAACGTCACACAGCCTCAATGTAAAGAGGGACACACAGGAATCGATGTGAGGACGATAGAGAACAGAGAGCTGAAACTAAGTATTACAGAAAATGATCCGCCGGTGGTGGAACAGTTGGTGGGTGAGAGTTTCTATCTCAACATGTCCAACTGTGAACCAGAGACTCGTCAATTTAGTGCACTGACCACAATCAATCTGCAGAGGAAGCAGAGTAAGCAGTTATCACTGTAGCACATTCACATACACAAAACATCTTAAAGGCATAAATCTAATCAGTGTTTGCTTTGTTCCTCCACAGATTTCTTACCCATCGTCCTTGGGATATCAGGAGCTATTTTGCTTTTGCTTCTAGTGCTAGCTGTTGTATGCATTGTCACAAAGTGAGTACACCTGCAGCAAAACGCTGATAGCCTAAAAAATGCCTGAGACTAGGCTGTGTTAGTTAGAAAGAAATCTCTGTCTGTGTGTCTGGTTTTTTGTTTGTTTCTTTGTTTCTTTGGCTGCAAACTCCTTCTAGACCATCAGGAGTTGAGCAGCCAAACTTAGCATACAGGTACATCTTCAGCCGCTGAAGGTTCTTATCTACATCAGATTTTACACAGTTATCATGTTGCCTAGAAACCACCTTGCAAAATGGCTAAAAGTACAACATTTTTTGCAATTATGCAAAAAACACGTCATAAAAGCATTATATCACTTTTATTTCATAACAGTAATATGTCATTTAAATCCACAAAAGCTGAATTATGCATGGCCATCCTGTTGCCTGGCAACCACCAAGCAATTGTCTAAAATGACCCTTTTTTATATAAACCACCTCCACTACCCCAATTTTTTTGTTCTACTTTTTCTCATTGTGATTAAATTTATCAGTAACGATGTGCTTAATCTCAGAGTAGATACTGAGCCATACTTAAAATTACTTCGTTTTTCATCCTTTTTTATCTACTTTATATTTTCTTTATATATTTTTTCAAGTTGTTTTTGCCCAAATTAGAACACAAACCATTTTTAATACCAACTTTTATTTTTGCAGTCATGACATATTAGTGTAAAATAAATATGAACAATGCAGCTGCTGTAAGATAAACCATTGATTTGCTGTTTCTGCTGATATATACACACAGTTACGTCCAAAGTATATGGACACATTTTATAATTTTGCCTCTGTGCAAAACCAGTGAATTTAAGTTTAAACAAACAAACCAAAAAATTTACAGACATTTTTATGCATAGTCTCTCATAGTGGCATTATTAGACCATAAACCTTTGGTTTGTCTTCATCTTTTCAAACAGGAAAAAGAAAAATCAAAAAAAGAACAGGGGATCGTCCATATACATGCCCAAAGGGAATATCTTCCGGCCATCTGACATGCACTTCACCAAAACCAGATCTGAAAATGAATCTCACGTCTATGACTCCATAGATGATACGATGGTCTATGGCCATCTGCTGAGTAACTCCAGCCACGGTGAGGCGTTTCCAGACCAGTATAACGGCATTCAGACAGACACCTACCGCACTTTCACAGGCCCCGCTGATGGAGTGCTGCCTGTCATTAAAGAACCAGATCCACAGCCCGAGGACAAAACGTTTATGGATCCCTCTGAGACTTTCATACCATCCCGTCCACGTACTCCCATCAACCGACAGGACAGCCTCGGCTTCCAGGACCGCAGGATGATTGACAATGAGCTATACACATTCAAGACCACAGGGGACATAAACACCATCCGACTCTCTGCTGCTGATATGGAGCCCATACCGGATGACTATTTGTAGTGTGTCAGGACCACAGCCATCCAATGAACTGCTATTACAAAATCCCCCTTACAGCACCAAGTATCTGCCAAGGGGTACTCATGCACGTGTCCGTGCTGTGACTATACTCAGGGAGTCTGAGCTTATATATCTAAGCGGTATTTGGTAGAACTCAGTCTGCTCTAGAGATCCAAGAGTGAAAGCAGTGAGCCCTGTTTTTAAAAGTCTGGAAAATAACGTCCCTGGGATACAAAGAGTGCATGTACAAAAGCTTTTCCTTTATGCTTGTGCAACGTTTCATAACATTGTGGTCTCACTAATGGCTCAGACATAAGAAACACATCTGGCTCGACCCATCGCAGCTCTAGACAAATGCAGTTAGTAGAGAAAAGCAAAAAGCATACTTACTGCAGTGTTGAGGCAGCCATGAACCTCAATGTGAAAGCACACGATTGGCTCATGTAGTTCCAACATGAGCTGTTGATGTTTTTTTTTTTGTTTGTTTTTTAGGTGCTTTATGTAATTGTCCCATAGCTTTTTATTAAGGATCCTTGATCCCAGAGATATGGCTCACATCTTTTCATCTTACTCCCAGACAGAAAAAGCAGCAACTACTATTTCTTGAATGTTTGTTTGGTTTTATTTTTTTTAAAAACTTGTTTAAAGTATGGAAAATGGAAAATTATCCGTTATTGTTGTTTGTAAATGTTTTTTTAATCTTGTTGACTAGTATTTTTTTATTTTATTTTTTTAAGATTTGCCTTTTCCTAGCCTGTACATACCAGAATTGTTTTGTTTTTGTTTTGACTTGCAATAAATTGTCAGTGTATGATGGGGAAGCGGTGTAGCCTTACGTGACCTTACGGCCATCATTACCTCATCTGAAGTGATGTTTCATTTTCCCTCTTGTGCTTAAACATGGGCCTCTTTGCATGCTGGACACTAAAAAAGCTTTTTCAGCCGCAGGAACTCCAACTATAAAAACAGTGTGAGGAGGAGGAGGGTGTGGAAGAACTGCTGAAGATTCGCAGCTACTGTTTACCAAGGAGCATAGCGGAAATAACAAATGCAGAGGCCAGGTTTATGTGACATTTCTAAACTGCAGACGATTTTTAAATAAAGTCTGCACGTCTTCTGACTTGCAAGTTTTGCAGAATTAATCTTCAAATTTTTTTTTGTGGAAAGCAAATTTCTGAAAAACATGAAAAAGCAAAACAGGGATAGACATTGTAGTTTATTGATGGTAATTTTACAGGTCGCAGGCTACAAGACTAGCAAACTGGAACGAGTGAAGACTGAGTTATTATAAAAATTAAAAAGTTATATCAGTCATAATTCTGGCTTTTTTAAAGTCCTATTTAAAAAGAAGTTTAAAACGGTGGTTCTCAGCCAGTGAGTCACAGAACTGCTGTTGATAGGTGTGAGGACAACAGAGAGTTACATGCAGTTTTTAATTTGTGGATGGTGCCAGCACCCAAACACTATTTTTAATCACATGAACATGGTTATTTCAACTTATGTTTTTCTAAAATGATATGCAGTTTTCTTTGCTATTTCTTTGTACAGCCACACAATCTCTCGCTTACTCCAAACTGGACTGTGGTCTTCTTGTTTTTATTCCAAACACCAGGAATGCTGCAAAATTACATACCAGCAGCATCACATTTGTCTAAAATAACATCTTCTTATGCAACTGATTGTGACTTCTACATCAGACTTTGGTTCTGATGCAAAACCAGTTGGGAACCGCTGGCTTGAACCCCTTATAGGATAGCAAAGAAGAGCAGCATTGCAGTGAGAGTAAACACACACAAAGCAGCTATAACCAAGCAAACGCAGAGTCACTGGTGAGATAAATGTGGTCAAACGATGTTGAACTGGCACACGGATGGCTTCTCGTCGCGGCAGTTCTCGTCAAACCACTTCCCCTGGGAGGCTGCAGACAGCACAGCGCAGTTCTGGGACATGCTCCCGTCTGGCTGGGGGGACCTAAAGTTGGACGTGTCCCAGTTTTTGTAAGTGATGCTGCTGCTGGTCTGGTCGATCCAGGTGCCCTCGGTTACCATATCGTTGATGCCCAGCCACGCCTGCTCATCTGGGCCGATGCTTTGGCGGACGTAGTCTCTGAGCTCATCGTTCTCATCCTTGGATGTAGGTGTGCCAAGGACACCGCCCAGGGCGTTGCAGTCTTCGCTGGCAGTGTGATAACGTTTCCTCACAGGGTCACTCAAGAAACACTTGCCATTGATCTTTTTGCCTTTTAAACAGACTGCAGAGGGGAGAAAAAAAGGAACTGATGGTTAAATAAGAACAGTAAAATGCTTTTTTTAAAATGTTTTCTTGTTTTTGTGAGGACTTTTTTGATAATGATATGCAGGAAAAATGTAGCTTTGTTATCAGGGTGAACACAACTTTAAAAAAGAATGTATGTGTTTGTTTTCCAGAAACAATATGATTTTCTGTTCAGAACAGCGGGGCAAACGTGTTTTCCAGATTAAAATATGGCATTTTAAAGACTCCACATGTATCAAATCTGCACTTATGTTTAACTGAAGCATGCTTCACGATATTGGATCCAACTTAAATACATATTTTGTTCTCTCAACTGTAATCCATATCAGACAGAAGTGAGACTAAGAAGTGCGTCTGTCTCCACTCTGCCGGTGTGCTATTAAAGGCATAGTCACCTTAAATCACCAGTGACTAGGATCAGCCCAAGCACAGTTTATGAAGGAGGACACGTCAACAAGTGTTATATAGATAAACGGGCTAAAATGGATAAAATAAGTTGATGTTGCATGAATAACTGTGAGAAATTGTGTTGAATAATCTAAATGGGTAGAGTGAGTGAAAGTGTGTACTGCAAATTCTTACTCTGACTTGACTGAAAACATATAAGATGCATGCGCACTAAAAAAATCAAACAATGATTAAAAACAAGAATTCTGATATTTTGTCTTATTAATAATATTATATGACAGCTAGTTTATAGTGCATGCATATTTTTTTTAATAAAATATCAAATGTCTTAAGGTAGATTTAACAACTGGCCCCAAAGCAAGGTAAGCAAGGACTGTTATACACTGTTAACTTGCATACACTCGTACACTTAAGGGTTTTATCCCATGACGGTGCAGGTAGTGCCTTCTCTTGATGACTGTTTTAACTATGAACTGTTTTAAACACCAGGTTTACCTCTTTGCAGAGCCTGCTGTTCCTTCAGTAGGTTGAGCTCCTGGACGATGTCATCGATCTGTTTCTGTAAGTGCACAATAGCAGCATCCTTTGTTGTATCTGATTCCAGACATACAAGAAATTTTTTTTAGAAAAGGTTACTTGTGCAAACTCAGTGATCAAACAGCTTTAGTGTGTTTTAAGTAAGAGGAGACTCTTAAGACTCTCTACCTTTTTTCATGGGCTTCTTCTTTGGAGTCTGCTGAAGCGAGGAGCTTACGAGCAGCAGCACTCCTAGGAGCACACGCACTCCTTTGAACTCCATGGTTAGACCTGTCGAATGAGGCCGAATCAACGTGGACGCTCGCAATTTATCCATCTCCCTCCCTCTCTCTTTCTATTTGTCCCTCTCACACCCTCCCTCTCATCCCCCAGAAGATGGAAAAATTATGTAGTCTGAAAGTGCTGTTTGTAGGAATAACAGTCCAACCTCAGAAGCCTTTAAGGATGGCGTGTGTGCGTTTCTTTTGGCTCCAGACTCTTCACGTGGAGGTTGAGGGCTAACCAGAGCCAGGCCTGGAAAGCAGGTGTAGACCTGCAGACTGAGGCCAGACAGTGTGAAACAGCTATTACATAAGCCCTCTGCAGCTTTCATGAAGGTGTATAAAAAAGACAAACAAAGAGCAACTCTTCTGTTGCATAAGACCCTGCAAAACTACAGCTGAGTTCAGCTGTAGTTTTACTGGCTCAAATTATTATAGTTTCATCCACAGCATATGGCTAAAATTTGACCTGTAAGTTTTATCACTGCAGGTGTTTTTGACAGCAGTGAAGGTGCATTATGATCCTTTATAAAAAAAAATGCAGGATTTTTTTTTTTTTTTAGTTTCAGACTTCGCACTGAAAGATTTAGGCAATGGTTCAAACTTTGCCCAAATGTCAGACGGATCCAAAGCAAGAGCTTGTTTTGGATCAGTCTGTTGTCTGCCTGTGCACACACCCTCACCCTGTCTGAGGACAAAGTGGAAATGATCCAGAGTCACATCTGGTCCTTCTGTAAGATTCCACTACACTTATTCCTCGGCCGACACGTGGCAAACACAAAAGGATGCAGAAAGACTGGACTGTTCCAGTGCAGGTCTGCTGAGAGAGGGCAGTGCAGATTTCAAGAATGGAAAGTTTTGCATTTGTGGTGAGTTAAAAAACAACAACCCATTCACTGATGCGGAACAAACTTTAAAGATAAATGAACACAAACACTAAGTATTGTTCAAGGTTCATATTAGGCCATTTTCCCAACCATTTGCATCATAATAAGTATTTTAAATAATCTGCACATCATCTTCTTCCTGACTTTGTAACAGCTTGAAATCAGACTAAAACTAAAACAGACAAACAATTAGCCCAAAAGAATACTGGTGGCCGCAAGTGCTTCCCCTGAGCCTCCTACTAGATGCACGTATGGTATAAATGTGAAAATCCTAGATGCCTTCCTTCTCAAGTTATTGCATTCACAAGATTTTCAATAACCTGATCTTGAGGTCAAAGTTACTAAAATTCTAACTTGTCAGAGATTTTTAGTAGATCCTTTGTCACCTCGGCTTTCCCAGCTGAGGGGTAAAATTTGATTTAAATCAAAACAAAAACTCCAAATTTTGGCTTAAAGAATTTGTGGTTATCATTTTTATACCATCTTCATAATAATAATAATAATAATAATAATAATAATAATAATAATAATAATCCTTCACTAGCTTCAGCTTTCAACCAGACATATCTTCTACAAAGTTTCATCTGTTGTGATTCAGACGCCACATAAAACAATTCCTCTATCAATCTGTGTGCAAACAAAACAACAACAAAAACATATCTGAAAAAACAAATATAAGCAGAGTACAAATAAACACTTTATTAGAAAATTATGTATACATGTAAACACAAACTTGGAAACAGGAGCAGATTTTTAGCCCAAAAAACCAACTTTCTGTCTCTTTTTTCCGAGACTCTCTTCCTGTTCCAGCAGCTTCATGAGAGGAGCGTGGAGGGCTTTCCCAACTCGTTTGCCCGCCTGCAGAAAACAAGCAAACAAAGAAAGAAAGAAAGGAAATAAACAATCCACCCATTTTTCTGCCACTTATCCAGGTTTGGGCACAAGGCAGCAGTGTAAGCAAAGATGACACTTGGCTCTGCCTAGAAATTCTGTCTATAAAAGTAGTGAACTACTTTAGCTAGGTGGGTGAGCAGGTGCCCATTGACTTATGGTTGAAATGCAGCAGCCCAGGTTCAAGTTCGACCTGCAGCTCCAACTCCACGTGAGAATATAAACGATTCCTTTTAACTGAAGGTCAAATGCTGCTGCTTTAAAATGTAAATAAGGTTAAAAGCACAATTTGTTAATTCTTCAGCTGTGCTGAGAGGAGGCCAGATGGCTGAGGAGCAAAGCTGGGCTCACCTCTGTCATTTCAAAGATGCTCTCTGGGTCCAGACTGCC